GGAGCATTTGGGACAGGGTTGGTGGGAGGAGGAGCAACCTCCTCCTCTCGTGATGGATTTCCTTTATGTTGATTTATGGATCTGATAGTGATCGTCATTGGATCAGCAAATGGAATATTTAAGAGTGAGAATTTTGTTGTTTTCACAGACAGTGCCAAACTGATGATGCACAAAATGATTTTGCACACCACCTGTCAAGTGTGAATAATAAATGCAAGAAAATTAATATCAGGAGATGGAGAGACACAGACAATTTATAGTGGTTTGGTCAGCTCGACTTATGTCCACTCTTCAATGGCTCTGATTGTCGGGTATTTTAATAACTCAAGGGTATGGGGAACAGAGAGTACAAGCTTTGAGGGAGAGGATAGAGTAGTGCTCAGGTGATGTGTGATGCCCCCAAGTGTTGGTGGCGCGTGCAATTTATAGTAACCTTCTTAATAGGTTGGGGCTACTTCTCAGCAACTAAGCAACTATTTCGATAGAGCTCACGACTTCCTCTCAACGGGTGAGGTAGTTGAGGAGCTTCCCATGAGATGCGGTCAAAGATAAGGCAAGGGTGGACCGTTTCCTCTTACGGTGCAGGTAAGGCGAGGGTGGATCATTTCCTTCTGCAGTGCAGGTAAGGCCCCACACTTTTCCTCTTGATGACATAGCCGAACCGATAAGACTGGACTTGGACAATATTGAGCTTAGTGGGTGTTTATAAGATTAGACTCTTCAATTGAGGTTTGGGTTTTCCAAATAAATTGAGTCATTTTGGACTTGACCCATCAGAACTTTACCTTAATTTCCATCCAGCAAAAACATGATACGTGAACTTTTTTTATTAGCTATAATTTTATCATTTTTTTTTTGGGTAAATTATATGAAGTTCAAATAAAGAATAGTAGTCTAGATCAAATTTCAGCACAATAGTAGTGTCTTATCCTGCAGTTTCTTAGAGCATCTTCAATATGCTCTCTATTATACCTCATTTAGTACCTTAGTGTTTTACATCCTTAAGTCTTGGTGGCTGTGACAATTGCCTACTCGCTGATGCAGAATAAATGAAAGAAAATTATGACATTTCATTTGAGCGTGGTCATCCTGATCAGTTAGAGAATTTTATAATAACGCTGCGTTTGGTACGCAGTAATATATTTATATAGGAATGAAATGAACATGAAAATAAAATAAACTTGAGAATGGAATGGAATAGAATGTGTATTATCATTCCAATGTTTGGTAAATAATTAGGATTAAGTCTTGGAATGGAATGCATATTCCATTCCAAAGTTTGGATAAAATAATTTCTATTAGAATAGAATGAAATTTAACAAAAATAACTTTTTATCATAAAATTTCCAACTTATTGCATACTGCATTATAATGAATATTTCTGTTAATTTTAAAATTTGAAAAATTAGATTAAATATGTAGTAAATAAAGTCACAAAGAGTCACATAATGAAAAAATTCACTAAAAAATAATAAAAATTAATAATAAACAACAAATAAAAAAATAAAAATGCGATACGTTCCTTAATTTCCTACATAATCTTTCATAAATAACTTTACCCGCTCTATCCAGCACCAGTATCCTCCTTAAATTCACAAACCAACTTCCTCTTAGTACGCAACATAGGGAGCCCCCTACTGTCCTGCATCAATATCACTCTGACTGCATAAATAAAGTCTTCTCTGAAGTTTTCTGGTGAAACAAGTAAGTCCGTGCAATATTGGAATTACCCTCGACTTAGTGCCACGGCCTCACTAGTAGGTGTGGAAGTAGACCTTGAATAAAGTTCCAAAACCATATCAAACATTAGCAAACCCACAAGAAAGAATCAACAAGAACCAACCACATAGTCTAACTTAGCTAAAGAAGCACATACAACATGACCCTTATGTAATAAGGTGACCCATTCAACCTCAATTGTTTTTTGAGTATTGGAAAAAAAAAGTATTACTTAGAGTGACCCACACGGATTACAGATATTCCACAGTTGAATAATTGCTTTGCTCAAGAAAAATACATGCTTGTTTAGTGACTTTATCAATACCTGTTAGGCCATGGCTGATTGGTGTAATACTACTAGCTACTAAGCCAATTTAGCCAAGAAGAAGGAACTTGGCTAAATAACACCCCAACACTAAAGTCGAATGTTGAACGCTAACGTTAGATGTCCACGATTTCCACAACAAAACCCCTGATTTTCTTGAGCACTGTAAAGATGAAATGCATACTGACGTGCAACTCAATGGACTAGAATATCAAAACACATTTATGGGCTAATAATATACAAATGAAGAAGCTAAGTTGAATACTTCCGAGCCACACTACATCGTACGTTAATTATAGTTGTACAATGAATCAAACGGCTGAACACCCCATGGACCTTTAAACTTAACCATACACCAATACAACAGACTGTACAACTTGAAGAGGATATTTCTAACCAAAAACCAACCAGAAGGAATCAATGGCAAGTTAAATTGAAAGCATAGAAGAAAATTACCGTGGAAATTTATATTAGGCCTTGCAAAGGCTAGAATTGCATTGCCTTCACAACTTGCTAACACATTTGACTTCTAAAAGAAATTTGTAATCTGCCTATCCTCATCAGTACAATTGTACATCATTATTATCGGTGGACCGACAAGGCCATGGAGGGACAAAAATAAGTACAATTGTTCTTTACACTACATTTGAGAGCACAATCTATGTGAGTAAAATAAAAATGCTTCTGTCAGACATTTTCTCAAACATCTTCAAAGCAAGACCCAAATCCCCACGACCCAATTACATTTGTTCATCGATTCTGCATATTAACTCTTACGGTGTATTGGGTTGAGTTGAGTCTAGGTTTGACGAACAAAATTTCGATAGGTATAGAGGTACAAAGTTAAAACTACAAAAGATACGGGGTAATTGTGATATTATTTTATTTCTTAACTTAATTAGGAAATTATGTTATTTTTATTTCTTGGTTAAGATTTTAATTTTATTTGGATTCTTAATTTATTTAGGATTCTAATTTTCTAGTTACTTTAGGGTTTCTATTACTATTTAAAGTCTTGTAAGGCTCAGGGTAAAGGTACTTTTTTGACGAATTAATAATATTGAGAATGTTGTATCTATTTTTTTCAATTATTCTGGTGTTCATAGAAATCAACAAATTTATTAAAGCCTTTAAGTATTTACGTGCTTCCTTGCATTTGACTTCTTGTTTTAAGTATATGTTAGTTACACCTAATTGTAATATTTTAAGCTTACAACCCATGAATTATGCCAATAACAATGCCATGTGATTGCTACACACATCAACAGGCCAAAAAAAAAAAAAAAACCAATTGTCAACGATTGTATGTCGTTAGTTTATCTTAGCACATGTATATACAAATGCACCAGGAATCTTTAATAAATTATTGGCAAAATTAGGAATTCTCTAGCTCTACGTATTCAGCCACTCAACTTGGCAAGAAATTTTGATAAATAATTTGAGGAGTGTGATTCTTTCCTACATAAGAGCTGTGCAGAACTTAGCAAAGAGATTAAAGACCCCACACACCCGAACACCTTTTAACCCTTCAAGCAAGTTCAAGTTCAAGTTCAAGTTCATTCTTTTGTGGTGCATGTAAACAAAATTGGGATCGGTTCATCTACAATTGTAACAAGTGTGACTTTGGCATTTGCATTCCATGTTTCTTCGAGGACCGCATGGTTAAACTTACAGTTCACCAGCGCCCATTAGCCGTCCTACTTAGGCCATCCTTGTTCTTTTGTGATATTTGCAGCATGGATTGATCATGTCTAACTAAGATTGATCATTAGAAAACCTTCTTGGTTGTTATTCTTATGACGGTGGTAGCACGGTACTTTATTGACCAAAAAGTCTTTGGATTTTTTGGTTTAGTGTTCAGGGATATTCGGTTTAATTTACGTAAATTTTAATTAATATTTTTTTTAATTCTGTTAAATACTGACTATTCACGTTAGAACTAGAATATTAGTAAGAGATAAATATTTTATTATTTGACCTAAAATATTATCACAATTTAATCTCGTAACGTTTAAATTTATATCATTTTACCTACCTTCAGCTACGGACGACGAGTAGTCGAAGGACTAGAGATTTTCTTTTTTCTTAATTAAGAGCCTTCACTGATCAATAGTCTAAGTGAACCTTACCGGGGAAAAGGAAAAGTTTCTACTTTGAAAGTGACGTTTGTGGGGAGAACTGCAAAAAAAAAATGCAATCGTACACTGCTGAGAGACGTCTTGAGAGACACAGATGAAACAATATATACTCAGTTTTTGTCGGTGAATTATATTTTTACCCCCTCAACTATACCTTAGTCTCACTTTGCCCCCATCAACTTGAGTCTCTCACATTTTTTTTTGGATCAACGGTCAGGATGTCTATATTAGATTACGTGCACCTCGATTAATTCACTTCTTAGTTCGATCAAAGGCAAAACATCCATGCCCGGACTAAAATAGTCACAAAAAATTATCAAAATTCAAACTCAAGACATTTACGATCGATCTCTGTTACCAGTTGAGCTACTTTAAGTTTTCAAATCTCTCACAATGTCTCATAGAGTACTTGAATTGGTTTTAAATCACCCCATAATCAAATGTTCATCATGTTTCAGACATAAAATGTCCACATGTATAGTAAAATACACATTTCTAATATCTAGATTTGGGGTAATATGAAACAGATAAACATAGTTGGAGATGTACCATTAGCAATGTGATAGTTGAGATGATAGTGTAAGAACAATAACATAGAATTCAGTTGAAGGGACAATGTGAGGTAAGACACAAAGTTGAGGGGTCAAAGTGTAGTTTTTGAATCCTTTTTAGGTAGAGTCAGAGGAGTCTTGGTGGTTGTCACAGTCCTAGCCATTTGCTTCAGACTTTAATACCTTCTTGTTGCAATTTTCAATACCCTCTATCTCTTCTTGTTGCAGTTTTCAGTACCCCCTCTCTCTCTCTCTCTGTCTCTCTCTCACACACACACACACACACTTACACTTAGATGGAGCTCAAAAATCCCATCCATGAGCATCCACTGATCCTCAAGGAAGTGCATAATGAAGAAGGTAAGAAAGTTATCTGCTACGGATGTAGGGAACCAATCTTAGACACTACATACAGTTGCAAGGAGTGTGAAAATTATTTCCTGCATAGAAGATGTGCAGAACTACCCGCGGAGAATAAAGACCCTAGACACCCCGGACACAGTCTCAACTTATTGAAACGTTCGACTAGTAAGAACCATTCAACTTACATGTGTGATGTTTGTAGAGGAACACAGGCTCAATTCACTTACTATTGTTCCCATTGTCATTTCAACATCTGCGTGTTATGTTTCTTGGAGGAGCCCATGATTACACTTCCGTGTCACGGGCACCAATTAACTCTTCTACGCAGGTCAGCCAATTTCAATTGCAATGCTTGCAAACTAAGCGGTAAAGGCTCATCGTATCTATGTTACACCTGTCAATTTTGGATTCATAAGAGTTGCGCTTTGTCACCTACCACAATTGAGCCTGATTATCACCATCATCACCGTCTCAACCTGAACTACAAGTATTTATCATCGAAGTTCAGCGACTATAAGGACCGTTGCAATAGCTGTCGTAAGGAAATTATCGATGGTTCTTGGGCTTATCGTTGCGAAGCCCAATGCAAGTATTTTGTCCATTTCGAGTGCGCAATTTCAACATTGAGGTAAGTTTAATCCTTTTTATATACGTCTTCTCTCTCTCTCTCCAGGGTCGGCCTTAGTGTAAGGTCATCTAAGTCTGGGTTTTCGGTCTCATTTTTTTAGTTAATTCCCATTATTGATAATTATAACTACTGGCCCAAATAAAAATTTTAATTTTATAAAAACTTATGCCCAAAAAAATAATTACTTCCAATAAATTAGAAAATGATAATATAATTCAACAAAAGGATAATAACCAAAATATGCACAATTGAAATATTAAGTTTATAAAAAATGATTAGATTCTTTTCCGAATGTATGCATTGCTTTACAGAATATTATTGACAATTCTTATAATTATTGCTTTTGTAGAATTTTTTTTTTTCAAATTAAAGTTGATAAAATCTTATATAAGATCAATTATTTCGCAAGAAAAATTAAGTGCATTAGCAATATTATCAATCAAAAAAAATAAGACAGTGAAATTTGAATATAAAAACTTAATTATTAATTTTGCATCTCAAAAAGCGAAAGGGATAAATTTTAAATAAAATATTATTTTTAAAAATAATAGGCCTTTCTTTTAGTTGTCGCTTTAGCCCCAGGATATCATGGGCCGACGCCCTCTCTTTCTCTCTCTCCTCTTAACGAAATTCTTGCAATGCTCTTGGTATTGTTAACTGAAAGTGTATTCTAAATTTGTGATTTCAGAGGTGGTGGACGTAAGAATGAAGCAGAAATGAAGGTAAATGGTAAGGATGATCTAGACATTAATTTGATACGCTTACCGCTGGCCGGTGATTCCTTAGATCTAGTTAGATATTTTGTTGAGCATAGTAATCAAGAAGAGACTAAGGGTGAAACAACGATCGATCATTGGACTCATGACCATCAACTAATCCTTGTCGATAAGCACCATAACAATGAGATGAAGGGTGACCAAAAAATTTGCAATGGTTGCGTGCAACCAATCTCGCCTCCATATTACATTTGCGAAATATGCAATTACTTTCTTCACATAAGTTGTGCAAACTTGCCAAAAACATTGCGACTCCCATGGCACCCTAAACACCTGGTTCAGTGTTCGCAATACTCCGAATTCTATAAACTCTTCAAATGCAAAGCATGCAAGTCATATAGCAACGGATTCTACTACAAATGTGGGACTTGTAAATTCTACCTAGATGTCAAATGTGCTTTTCTACCATTAACGATTACACATGAAGCTGACGAGCACCCATTGGTTGAAACTGAATGTGTAACACATAAGTGCCATGCATGTCATTATCCTTCCCGGGGGATGAGATTTCGTTGTGATTCTTGCAAATTCAATCTATCCTACAAGTGTGCTCTCCTCCCGCATACTATCAGGCATAGATGGGACAAACATCCACTCAACCTATTCTACAAAACTATCAATGACCATCCAGACGAATTCTACTGTGAATATTGCGAGGAAGAAATAAATCCTCAATGTTGGCTCTACCATTGTGGCGAGTGTGATCAATCATTTCATCCTAGATGTGTTTTTAATGGTTATTCAAACACCAAATTTGGGGGAATCGTTGAAGTTGATGAGCACCCACACTCTCTCATGTTTGTGCAGACGGCAAAGAGGATGTCCACTTGTTGCAGATGTGGTAGTGCTTTTAAGGATTGTCCCTCATTCGAATGCCAAGTTTGTTACTACGCTGTTTGCCAAAGATGTCTTGATAAGTTACATGTTAAGAATTCCAAAGGGTGGGGAAAATGATGGAAGAATATGATTAGCATTTTCCTTGTTATAAAGTGTGCAAGATGTATTCAATGTGAATAGTTTGTGGATAATTATGCACAGTTGATGTTGAATTATAGTCACGAGTCCAAAATATGCGTTGTGGCGTTCTACATTATAATACAAAAATGATTTAGATTTCCATTTGACCAAGAATCTCTCTTTAGAAGTCTAATTTGGTACTTTGGTTGTGCATTTCAAAGATTTTTTTGGGTTTTCTTTCCTTTTTTGAAATATTTTTTTAAGTTTTTTTTGGTTTTTTCGTATTTAGATTTGCTCTTTTTGTCGAAGCCTAATCATATGCAGGGTAGTATAAATATGAACATCCATAAGTGTGCTGTTTTCATAAACAATGTATATATATCACTTTTTTGAATAGTAATCAAACAACAATCGGTTATGAATTAATAATTTTTTCAAGTATCTGAATCCAAAACACATAAATCTTACTATACAAATTTGAATTAAGGTATACTAGTATCTAACCGATTGTAATATGATCCGAACTAATTATATCTATAAATAAATATATACTAAAATTGGGTGATTATTATGATAAGAATTGAGTTGAAATTAAGATGTATCGTTTTTTAAGAGAGGAATTTCACAATCAATTAAGAGAGGGTGACTCAAAGCAAGCGGCACTACTCACTATCCCATACCCATTTTGTTAGGCGCGCAAAGGAAAGATATAAGGAGAAACTCTAAAGACAGCATAAGAGTCTTAAAAGACCGAAAGAAAGAGAGAGAATAGGGGGGTACATCCCCAACTTTTTGGTTGTGTATCAGAATTTTGTCGAATTGGGAAACAAAAAAAAAAAAAAAAATTCTTTGCATAATCTGGGATGGAGTTTCCTAATCAAATTCTCAACAACAGTATAATTTTTTTTATAAAAATAATAGAATTTTTTTTTGTTTATTTAATGATTTGCCCATTTTTTTCGCAAGGGTGTACCGTAATGTCTAACATAATCAATAAAAAATTATGTGATTAGCCTTTATAATGTCTAACATAATCAATAAAGATTCTTTCATACATTAAAAAACTTAGCCTTGTCAATGAATGAAATTTTAACTTGAATTTGATTCGATTTTAAATTTTGATTGGTCAGAACGAATTAATATTTTCGAGGGACTATTTGTTTGAAAGGGGCCATGAATTTTGACGATTATCGTGCGATCATTTTCTCTAATTTGGTAGTAGTCTCTACTCTAAAGAAATACTGGCTCTGTCCCCGTTTGGTTATGAAATTCTGACCCTAGCTAAGCCAATTAAAAAGTAATCTAACTGTATATAATCTCATTGTACTGCCATCCGCAAACCAAGTCAAAGTATCCAAATGGAGTTGCTCACCTTCAAGCATGACCAAAGCTCGTGTCTCATCAATCGTCTAAAGATTTTCATTTTTCCTTCTCTGTAGGCTTATTCTTAACAGGTTTCCATAATAAATGAATGAAATCAATTAGATTTGTAGTTCGACATTTAAATCATCCACTGATGTTCACGTTCCAAACTAATGAGACTACGTTATGTGGGATGTGTTGAGCCGTATGTACGTAAACAAGACAATTGTCGTAATCGAAATGAGATTTCACGGCTATTTTTATTTTATTCTTTTTATGAAAATGCAAAAGAAGAACATAGGGAGTGATTGATTTGGTTTTCAAAAATTATTTTTCGTACTCAAAACTCTAAAAATAAAGAGATGTTTTTTGTTTAATTTTTTTTATTCTTCAAATTTTAGAAAATGAGATGTAATTTTAGAGAATAATAAAATGACGTTCTCATTATTTTCTAAGACAAAATAAAAATAAGGAAACAGTTTATTTCAAAATTAATTTGGTTTCCCTTTCGAATTTCATTGAGGACAAAAAAATTCTTTTTCCTTCTGATGCGTCTATTGTGAGTCTGTGACTTCCCATACGCCCAACTCCCAAATCCCTAACCCTAATCGCCATCGCCACCGAAGCTACCGGAGTACCACCACCAGTGAGTGAACCCACCTCCATTGCTCTAAAAACCCCAAACCCAGTGAAGCCCCCATCCCCAAATCCAGCGAAGCCCTATCCTCAATCCGTCGAATCAGCACGTGGTTCCACCAACAAAGGAACCAGTCGTCCAATGGAGCTCCAACAGCTGCCAGAACACAGATCTGAGGAGCCTCCACTGCCTCTTTCTCTCTCCTTCGCAACTTCTGCTTTGCTCACTTTGTGTTTTGGGTGGCTCTGGGTTCGGTGGTTGTTTTTTGGGTGGTATTGTGCGGTTTTGGGTGGTTCGGTGGTGATTTTTATTTGGTGGTTGTGGGTTTTTGGGTGGTGAAAGAGAGATAAACAGAGAGGTGATGGGTGTTGGTGGTTCCCAGCGTGGGTTGGTGGTTGTTGGGTTGGTGATGGTTGTGGGTGTTGGGTGATACACAATGAAAGAGAAAGAGACAGGTATCTGCAAATTGTGAATTTTTGTCCAAACAAACAAAAGTCGGGTGATTTTTGCGTTTTTTTTTGAAAACATCTTTTTCTTAGTTCAATTTTTTCCGCTCGAGTCAAAGCATCAAGCTTGTGATAGTCGAGCCAGGTACTGGCCGGGACTGCAGTCCAAGGTCAATGTTCATGGGTTGGGTTTAAACTGAAGCCAATGTTTGTGGGTTTAAGCATCCAAGCCAGATACAAACAGGCCAGGACTGCAGTCTAGGACTTCAAAATTTTATCCAAATATGAGTTTTATTGCTCTATTTTTCCTAAAACCCATCATATCAAACTCTGCTTACCCATCTACCAAAACAGGCCCATTAGGTATAGCCCAAGGAAGGTCCAGTCCAAAAAGATAAAACAAAAACAAACATAGAAAAAAAAAAAAGGTGCGAATTTTTATTTTTAATTTTGTTCTATTTTTGCACAATGATTATCCAAAATACATTTTCCGATGAAATTAAGAAGCAATAAAAGTTGCATGATGGATTATTCTATGCAGATTTTCACCTCATAATATTATTTTGGGATTTGTCAATAAAATTATGTCATCGACAATTACCACAAAACCATATTTTTGCCCACATTCTCGACAACTACACAATTTAAGTCGCGACGACTACTATTGCTCAAACCAAGGGCGAAGCTACTAAGGGGCCAGGGGGCCTGGCCCACCCTTAAAATTTTTAATTTTATATGTGCATAAATGTATATATTTTATATATTACTAGCATATAATGTATTGTGCCCACCATATCGCTCTCATACTTCTATAATATTTTTTGATACTACAAGTTGCGATTAGTTTATTTTTATGTTTGATCATTTTTATTGTCTTAGGATTTTCTAGTTTCTTAATTTAAAAATTAAATCCCTTGCAAGTGTTTTTTATTTTCGTGTGAATGACCATCTCTATTTTTTTGTGACCTATTAAATGTTATGTTTGATGTTTTTCTATTGAGTTTTAATAGCATACTATGTTTAATTCTTAGATTTTTTTGTCCATAACTTTGCTATTTTAATCATAGTGTAGTGGATTCGACAAATTTTTACGTTAACTATCGGCTACTTGACACAACCCTCATTTTTTATCTTGACTTGGGACAAGCAAGCAGTGTTGAATACAACACTGCCGGAGTTAACTTTGCTATTTTAATATGTAATGATAATACACATTATATATTCTATCAATTAAATCCAAAGTAAAAGGATATGAAAATCGATCAAATAACCGAATTGTTATAATTAGTGTTTTTCTTTAGAGTATCTCTAATCATGACTCAAATTTTTATTCAAATTTAAATTAAAATTTAAGTAAAAAGCTTGATTTGATACAAAAGGGTCCGACGATGGACAAATTTAAATTTAAAAAAGGAGAAATTCAAATCTAAATGTGGGTAAACTCAAATTTAAATGAAAATAAAAATGACTAGTGAATCTTTAAAAGGGGGTGAAATTTCACAATTAAAAATTTAGGTAAAGATTTAAATCTCTCTTGATTTGAGTCTCCTTTAATATAATAAATTAAATCTAGATACCATTATTCTTTATTTGCTATAAGGTAAATATTAGACCGGTCTCATAAACTAATTAAATATTCTTAAATTCCTTTATTTGTTTAAGTGTGAGATAGCCATATCATTTATACCATCAACTTTGGTTGAAATTTATTCGAACTAGCAAAACTCCTCCAACAAAAGGTCATATACATAGATAAATAGTGGGTGAAATCCTTTTTAACATTAACTCGCAACGCTTTGATAGACACCGTTTTCACTTGACATGATTAATTGATCTAATTGGAATGACAAAATAATATAAACCTATAATATATAAAAAGGCAAGCTTCAATAAATTCGTCTGACAATCTCAAATAGATTTATCTAACGATTATCAACATTCCTCTCAGAATTATTCATATTTCATCATGCTTTTAGGCATGAATTATCCCTAGTCTCATACATAGTACAAAAAATTTTCAATTATATGATATTTTGTACGACACATAAATTATATAAATTTTTCACCGTTGCCTAGATGCTTAACTTGTTTAATGCAAATATTATATGTTGATGGTGTGCCATGAATCACGCTGCCGATAAGAATGCTAGCCAATTGCATCAAGTCGAAATTAAAAAAAAAACTATTAAATTAGGTTTCGTTTGGTAACGTTTATATTTTTCGTTTTCCATTTTTATTTTGATATTTAGAGAAAACAAGAAAAAAAAACTTGTTTGATAACCGTTTTTTTTTTCTCATCATTTTGTAAACGAGTGGCGATTTTCAAAAACGAAAAAAAGACGTTTTTCGTTTTTTGATTCTGTTTTTCGATTTTTAGAAAATTAAAAACCGTAAACGTTACCAAACGAGCCGTTAATATTTAATAATATCATTAGCACCGACAATTTCAACTACTTGTTATTTAATAGCTTGAATTATACTTTGCATCTCAAAAAATTTAAGAAATTTATTTTATAGTCTCAAAAATAAAATTATTTATATTGCACCCTTAATGTATTAAAAATT